CTTTAATGGGATTGAAGACCAGATAATCATAGTTTCTTTCCTCTAATTACTTGCCCAGATTATTTATAATACAAGACTTAGATTCCTTATGTTAGGATAACTATTGAAACATTTACTACATGTTTCTTGCTTAATATGTTTATGCTGGTTGTAATTCTACTTTTATACTTAATATTTATTCTTGTATATAACTTTTATTAGGCTTAGAACCATCTTATTTAAACAAAAGGGGGAGGTGCTATAGAAAATTCTTCATCCAGTAGCTTTTAAGTTATCTACCCACTTGGGCATGTCCTCTTATATTGTAACTGACAATGTAAAGTGTACGCTTTCTCTCTCTCTTCTGGCTGCTGGATTTGGTTGTTGTTTCCCATTTGAGCAGCGGACTGTGATCTGTGTGTCTACTTCTAAATAAATAACCCTTTAATAATAAATTTTGAACTAGTGTGGGATTTCTTTTTTGTGTCTATCTTCAATACCCCTTGTTCCAGAGTGGATGAGAGAAAGGAACAATTCTAAGAGCCAGAGGTTGTAGATAAAACAAACAGGAACATAAACAAAAAAAAAATAAACAAAACAAAAAATGGTGGCTTTCATGCACAGCAGGAAAGATGTACATATTAATTCAATTGTGACACATTGCAGAAGACCTGAAAAGCTCCTGCTAGACAAGACTGTAACAGAGAGGGGAGATTGGGAATGAAATTCCACAACAAGTCAATAATCTATTGGTATTTGAAAGATACTCAGAGAAGGGGGAATCAGTTTTCTTTAATGATGTCATAATTGGTTAATTGAATATACACCAGGGCAGAATCTACTCCCAAGGGCATTTGCACAGCATATATTGGATTCAATATGTTTTAACAAAAAGATGGAGACAAGATTTATTTAATAAGGAGGTCAGAAATAAAGTATATGATTAATAATAATAGAAATTCATTACCAATTCAAAAAAGATATCTTTTGTAGTTTATATTATAAACATTTTAACTTTCTATAAAGTATATTTATTACTTATATGTGCTCTATCTGAATATTGCTAAGATAATTATATCTCAAAAATAGAAGAAATAAATCTGAGATGAGCTGAGAGTGAATTCATCTTTCTATTGATTTGGGAAATATAATCCATCTGTGTTTCCCAGACTAATATATATATACGATCACTATCATATGGAAAATTCTGTCCTTTATATCTTAGTTTCCCATGCATGTTATCAAAAATGTGTTTACAATGACAGATATATAGCTAAGTCTGTTAGCAGCTCATAATGTGGCCTCAACACTTTGCTTAATACCAATGTTATGTATCTGTTTACTTAATAAATTGCCTTAACATTGTGTTTGTGTCTGTAAATCACTTTCAAAGTATCAGTTTTCTGATACATTCAATAGGCACATTGTTTTATAGTCAAACATGGAAAAAGAACATATGAATCTATAGGAGAGAAACTGTCAAGAATTGAAGAAAATTCTTTGTGTATATGTTTATATTCTTATTTCTCCGTAATATCTGTTACAAATTGAAATACAACTTTTGCTCAATCTTTTTGATTTTTTTTTTATTAATTTGCTGTTTCTCTTTAAAATTTATTTTGGGGGCAGATAGATAGGTTACTTGTTAAAACAATTGCTATTCTTCCAGCCGACTTGGATTCTAGTCCCAGCACCCACATAATAATACACAACCATCTGTAACTACATTTTCAGGGAACCAAATATTATCTCCAAAATCTATAGGCAACAGGAATTCACATGGTACACAGATGGACATCATGCATAATACTCATACACATAAAAGTTGAAAGATTTTTTTTGTTCAGAAATTTGACTTGTCTTGTTTGGTTTTACTATAAGCTTTGAGTGCTTGCAAAAATAAAATTTGCTTGTTAAAATAATATAATTCATTTGTCTTCACAAAAAATAATTATTTTTGCCTTAATCTTGATGAGCTATGGCAAACATAAACAATGCAAATTTTAGTAATATGCCATTGTTCAAAAATTTCTACACAATTTAAAAAATCTTTGTATTTTATATGTTTAAACATGTCCATTCATATATAGCATATTTAGTATTTCATATAGATTATTTCCTTTTTTATATTAAATAACTCATTGGGTTTTTATTACTTAACACTTAAGCCATTTTCGTTTTTCAGAATTCTTGTTTTTCCAGTTTTTCATTATCTACTTGGAAGACAGAATATGTACATAGCTTTATGTTGCACATGATGACAAATGGTCCTTGGGTAACAGACTCTAGGTGGCCTAAAAACACACAGGGTGAACTATTTACCTTGGGCACACCTGATCAGGGTTCTGGAACCAGTGATTCCAGCTGGAGATGGAAAGACGGCTGAAATATGATCGGGCCAAAATTTCATAGACTTGCACAATTATTTATGAAGTACAAAAAGTACCACTTCTGTGTTAAGTTACTGTGTCAAGAATCTATGGATACAAAAGTGAAGATAGCCACACCAAAGGACAATAAAACAGGAAATTATAACAGTGTGGCCAGAGAACGAAGTGTTTGGGAAGGAAAAAGGATAGGCTGTCAGAGAGTGAGCAGATTAGATAAAGGGGAAGGTGGAGCGGGGGTGGGGGGGCGGGGGGGGGAGATGGTGTCAAAACCTGAATAGAATCTAAAAATAGAAGCTAAAGAATGGAGAACAGGAGTAGCTGTGATGCTTAACGTTAGTTGTCAATTGATGAGCTCCAGAGTCGCCCAGGAGATGAACTCTGGGCATGTTAAAGATTATACTGATTGGGTTTACTGAGGCGGGAAGACACACCCACTGTGTGTGTGTGTGTGTGTGTGTGTGTGTGTGTGTGGCCCGCCATCGTTATGCTGGGATCCCGGACTGTGTAAAAATGATAAAGTGAGCAGACTCCCTACTCTTCACTGTAGATGCAACTGTGTGCTGGAATGACGTAACAAAGAGCAAGGAATAGTTGAGATAAAAGCACAACGGATCAAGTAATAAATGTCCTTGATGAAGTCCAAGGGCTAGAATCTGTCTAAAGGACAACCAGACAGAAATGGTTCAGGTAGAGATTCTCCAAGCAGAGTTTCTATACTAACAGCAATAGCCAAGACCCAACCCAAGAGCAGGAGCATACTTTGGTCATTTGAGAAGTCTGCAAACACATGTTTATTGAAACACTATTCAGAACGGCCAAAATCAGGAATCAGCCTACACGTGCACGAACTATGAATGGATAAAGGAATTGGTATGCTACACATTGGGATTTTACTTAGAGAAAAGAGAAGAATTATCTCACCTGTAGGAAAATGGATGGAGCTGGAGAGCATCATGCTAAGACAGACAGACTTAGTAAGGCAAACACATTTCTCTCATATACAGAATATAGATTAGATGACATTAAAGTATGGGGAGCATTATTTGGGAGGCACAAGATAATATAACGTGGGATAAATGATGATGTATATGATATGCATATAAAAATGACAGAATAAAACCCATTGTTTTGTACTGATACACCCATAGGAAAAGACAATACAAATGTATTTTCAGCCACACTTAAATAGCTAAGAAGGTAGACAGTGTAAGTTTATATGCAATTCCAATCGCAGTGAAGGATTCAGGAAGAAGCCTGCTTATGACGATGCTGGAGAAGGCCACTGAGGAAAAGCACTCTTCCACACTGGAGGCGATAAGACAAACGCTCACTCCCCAAGGAAGTAAAAACTACCAAGAGCCCGGTCAGGACCCATGAAGTCTCTACACATTTTTAATAACCAGAGCAGGAAGCTCCGCAACATGGGCCCGAAGTTACAATGGCACTTACCAGGGGCTCAACATGACAGCTGGAGCAACTGGTTTGTTATCCTTACAATCAGTTGCTTACTTTCCTGAAGTCAGCTTCAGACATGAGCACACTTACTTTACAAGAAGATAGCCCATGGCGGTAACAAAAAGTATCCTACGACAAAACACAAGGCTTCTGGTTCCTTCCTTCCTTTCTTGTTTTCAAACACAACACTGCCAACTGAGAATGGGTCAACTCTTAAAACGGAGTAGAAAGAAATGGTAGTGTAAAAATGATCTGATATACGGCAATGAGGCACACCAGCAATCCTTGAAGCAGTTTGCCTTTGACACAGTGTAGCAGTGAACACCAACCTTCTCAGTCACAGTCCCGAGTGGTTGCATCTGTGGTGATCTTAAACAAAGATCTATGTTTCTCACATAGCACGTTTTGGTTTGTTTGTATTTTTCTGAGTGCAGGCTATCTGGATTGTAGATCCTGCATCACATGGCGCTTCTTTTATAAACATCTTTGTTTCCCCACCAAGAGTTTCAAAGAGTTTGATTTCTCTACGTCCATTTTAAGTGTTACAACTTTATTATTTGATTATACTCACTTTAAAAAAAAAAAAGTAGAGCCGGGCGGTGGTGGCGCACGCCTTTAATCCCAGCACTTGGGAGGCAGAGGCAGGCGGATCTCTGTGAGTTCGAGACCAGCCTGGTCTACAAGAGCTATTTCCAGGACAGGCTCCAAAACCACAGAGAAACCCTGTCTCGAAAAACCAAAAAATAAAAAATAAAAAAAAAAATTAGAGAAACAGATCAAAAGAAAGAATTATCCAGCATCTCTTCACAAATACAGTAGCAGGATTATATATATATATCCCTTCTAGTCTTTTTTTTGTACATTAACACACCATTTAAAACAAAAAACCAGTATCATAAATGCTTATACCTTTTCCCCTCATTTCACAGTATGAAGTGACCATTTCTTTGTGAGAAAATATGATTTCTACTTGATTGCTTCATAGCTTAAGTATAACAGGAACATGATACACCTAATTTTTCCATATTGTTTAGAATATTTTGCCTTCTTTTCATGATTCTTTCAATGACTCTCCCATAACTTCTTAAAGAGAAATTCCAGTGTACCAAAGTGCATTCAGTATTTTTAAGCCCGAGAGGCAACGTACCGAACTGCCTCCCAGAAGAATGGTGCCAATTTACAACCACAGTCCCATTTCAAGCTCAGAGCCATCAGCAGTGCAGGGAAATGGACAGACATCCTCACCAGTCTTCATGGTTGCCAGTGTAGAAGGAAAAATGATTGACAAGGTTTTTGGCTTTGTTCCCTTATATTTCTGCAGGCTGTTGTTTTCCTTCCAGGTTCCAGAAGAATCTGTATCTCAGTGGAGTGCACTGTCTCTTTCTTACCACATGCTCCTTTCCCGGCAAAGGAACAAAGGCCAAGTATCGGTCCCATTTTTTGTGTTAGCAAAATCTCCCAAAGACTAGAAGTAGTAAGTCTCCTCGTGGTGGCCATGCTGTTTCAATGTCTTGGTGGTAAAACAGAACACTGGACCATGTTCTTCAGATTTCGAAGCGTTTCTGACCACTCCATAGACCCTATCTGTGGAATCATAGTGAGCAGTAAGCTTTTGGCTTTGTTGGCATTTTCTTTCATGGTCTTTAAAACCCCATCCACTGACACCGCTTCTTCATGCTCCTTCCAACAATCATAATTGGTTGCCATGGCAATGCTTGCATAGCAAATGCCAGCCTCCTTAGCAAGCACCACCTCTGGAACTGTGGTCATATTGATAACATCTGCACCCCAAGTATGGAATACAAAACTTTCTGCCCGAGAGCTGAAACGAGGCCCCTCAATTGTGACTATTGTCCCTTTGAATGGCATCGAAGACCAAGCTTCTTAGCTGTTTCTATGAGGACCTCTCTTGTTTTGGGGCAAAACGGTTCAGCCATTGGGATAAGGCACACTCCTCTGGCGCTGCCGTGACTTCCATCATAGAAGGTCTGAGGCCTCAGGGATGTCCTGTCAATGAACTGATCGATGATGACCATGTCACCAGGCTGGATCTCCTCTCTCAAGGACCCGCAGGCTGTAGTCACTATGACATGTGTACAACCCTCTTCCTTCAAAGCCCAGATGTTGGCCTGGTAGTTGACTTTCGAGGGCATGATGGTATGCTGTCTCCCATGTCTTGCAAGAAGTACACAATCAACATTCTTTATCTTCCCCAGAATTAAGGCATCGGATGGCTTGCCAAACGGAGTATCCACATATTTTTCAGTCCTTCCTTCTAAAATTTCTGGATCATCCAAGCCTGTTCCACCAATTATCCCAATCTTCACCGGTGCGCAGGCGGCGCCCGAGGCCATGTCTGCACCAGGGGAGTCATCTATGAGCGGGAACGCTGAAGCGGGAGAAGACTGCAGACCCGGCGCCGTGCGGGAGTGAGCCATAGACTATTTCTTAATAAGATACTGAAAAATTAGCTTTCTGCCTTATTAAATAATATCTCTGCCTCTTAAACATAATTTGTAACAAATAACAGGAAATCATCTTAAAGTCTTATAATTTTCTTTTCTTATCTGAAAATGCTGCCATCGTATTTTTGCATAGATATCTCGGGTATTAGAAGACACAATTGTTAAGAAAATAAAACTATAAATATAATTTTTGGTCATGAATCTATTAACTGAAATGGCTTGTACTAAGAACTAATGTATTAAATCTCAGTTCAGTTTTATCCATTCATATGGAAATATCTAATTAATCATTATTTCTAAGTTCATATAAATGATTTAGTGCTTTTCTACCATGAAAATTAGAATATAACATATAATTTTATAAATCTATTTCAGTGGGAGAAATATAGATAACAGAAAATTGTATCTCCTTGCTTTTCACAATTATTCACAAATAGTCTAAGACAATTTCCTTCTGAAAAATGCTATGGTTTTAAAAGGGAAATACATGTTGCAGTATTGATGTGGGATTCCCCTCTTTATGCTGCTAATACCATTGGTTAATAAAGAAACAGTCGCTGGGCAGTGGTGGCGCACACCTTTAATCCCAGCACTTGGGAGACAGAGGCTGGTGGATCGCTGTGAGTTCAAGGCCAACCTGGTCTACAAGAGTGAGTTCCAGGACAACTCCAAAGCTACAGAGAAACCCTGTCTCGAAATTCAAAAAATAAAAATATAAAAAAAAAATAAAGAAACAGTCTTAGGCCTGTGCAGGGCAGAATAGAAGTAGACTGGAAAAACTAAACTGAATGCTGAGAGAAAACAGGCAGAGTCAGTGAGACTCCATGTAGTGGCCAGAGGGGAAAGATGCATGTTGCCAGCTGAAACCTTATCAGTAGGCCACAAGCATAATAATAATATATAAAATAATGGAAATGGGTTAATTTTATCTATAAGATCTATCTAGCAATATGCTTAAACTATTGGCCAAACAGTATTGCAAATAATATAGTTACCATGTGATTATTTCAGGAGACTGGGCATCTGGGATCAAACAAGCAGCCTCAAACAACACAGTATGAGGGAAAGGAAGGTCAAAGGAGATAACAATAAACAATAATGTAGGTGGACAGAGATAAAATATTGCATGTCTTTTCTCATATGTAATATCTAGATGTAACTGTATACAACGCTTTAATTTATGTCCTGAAAGCAGAAATGCACCAAAAAAAAAAAAATGTGAAGAAAGAATTGCAAAGTGAAGGGATAGGACAACTGCAATACTAGAAGAATAAAGACAACATGACTTCTCTGATATTAAAATAATCTATTTATATATTTAAAATCTGTTATCATGGATATGTATACATATGAACAAATGAAACTAGAAGTGAGACTTCTTTGTTTAACTGACTAATATTATAGTTGTTGAATAATTTAGTTTTGTTCAGAAGGAATTCTCAATATCAAGGTAGTGTATTATTTTCTAATACCAATGAGTTTATATACTATCATGCATAAATTAGCCAGAATATTTGTTAAAAATGGTTATCTTGCTGGTAATGTAAGAGTGTGTCTTAGAGTAGAAGCTAGCATTTTGCCTTCAGAATTGTGAATTCTATTTTACAGAATTGACAATAAGAGGCCATCCTATATGTTTTATTTATCCTGCTGATGTAAATCAATACTTGATTTTAGAATAGAAGTTATTACTGTTTCCCATTATAACACCCACTTTGCTTCAGAAAATTATAAGAAACTTAAGTGTCTTTCCAATTAACAATAAAATGGTTTCATAGTATATGTTAAGAATTAGCCTTCTTTTTATAGACTTCTATTTTTAGTGGTTTTATTCTTTCTCTTTGAAGGATTATTGATAAATAATAGTTCTTTATATATAAAAGGTATTTGACTCTCTAACAATAGTTCCTAAATTTATTTTGTGGTCTGATTCATGTTTCTTAGAATAAGATTTCACATGGCAAGCATGCAGTTCTATTACAATTATTTAAATCCTTTCTGGTGTTATTGAGAATTTGAACAGTGTCAAATCAGACAGCACATAAATATTACCCTTTTTATATAAGATATATAATTATTCATTAAAATATTTATGTACTAAAGGATAGTGAACTCATTACTAGGAAGTAATGGAAACAAAATGCATCATTTACTTAATTATGCAGTAAAGTTTTTGGTGTGCTTCTTTTAATGTCTAATGTTGTTGGTTGTTTTTTACTCTTTTCTCTTTTGGAGTGGCTACCACCCTGTTCACATTTAAATCACTCATGGGGCTGGAGAGATGGCTCTGTGGTTAAGAGCATTGCCTGCTCTCCCAAAGGTACTGAGTTCAATTTCCAGCAACCACATGGTGGCTCAAACCATCTGTAATAAGGTCTGGTGCCCTCTCCTGGCCTGCAGGCACATACACAGACAGAATATTGTATACATAATAAATAAATAAATATTCAAAAAAAGAATTTAAAAAGATAAATAAATCACTCATG